AATTAACTTGCCACATCACCTAAAATTTAACGGAAGGACTAAAAAGGGGCCGGATTTGTGAACAGTAAGGACCAAAAAGGGGATTTTTTTGGTACAAGGACTAAAAAGGGGCTTTTTCCAATAGTAGAGGGACCAAAAAGGGTATTTAACCTTAACTATTTAGATATAAGAGTGAGCTGTTGTTGAACATATTCTAACAATCTAAGCAAGTCTAGTGACAATCTTTTCTTCCAATATAGGAAAAGAAATCTTAAATTTGAATTTATGAGCATACAAATGAGGTGTATAAAAAATTAAAAAAATACTTCTTATTATGTAATTTAAAATAATAAAAAAAATCCTACTATTTCAAGGACTTTCTCTCATTTAACGGTCATCTTTTTTTTGCAGTCGGGCCTCATAAATTCAGTTGTTTTCCTTTGGAAAGATAATTGAAAGCTTAAGATTTATTTGAAAAATGAAATTAGGCTAGTATATGGCCCAAAACATTTGTTTTGTTCCAAGAAAAAGAAGTTAAGGAACCACTAACATTGGGCTTAACAAGAAGAGAACAAAGCAGCCCATTCAGTCTATACCGTTCATACATAGCCCAATCCATCAACATTTACATGAAATTACAAAAAACGCCATCACCAAATGAAAGTGAAACACGAATTGTGAGTAAGTAAAGGAAGCACAAAGAAAACACAAAACTAAAAAAGCTTAGGAGTCACGCAGCCAATAGAGCAAAAGCGCACAGATCGCTGACCTGGAATGAAAATTTCCAAATCCCGCCTAAACCCACCCCCTGATTTTTTTTCATTTCACTTCGTCCGCAATTTTATTTCAATTTCCGCCAACTTCGTATCTCTTCTTGTCGGCGTTCTCTCCACCCACATATTCACCCTTTTGCCTTTTCTCTCTCCAAGCTACGTCCCTGACCCTAACCAAAAACCAGGTACGTTCCATCGATTTCCGCCGCTCTACATCCATTTCCGCTCAATTTCCGCCGTTTTCTGTTCATTTTCATAGGTTTTTTCGCTTTTGCATATGTTTCTGTTGTGATTTTTACTTATACGTTTCGTTCATTTTTCTTCGATTTCTGTCGATTTTCATCGAATTTGTGGCTTATATTGACTTGTATGTTTGGTAAATTTTCGCCGGATTTTTTTTTTTCTGTTTTTGTAGTCGAATTTCTGCGTGGTTTTAACTTCTATGTTTCGTTGATTTCCATCAGTTTTTTTCCGAATTTTTTCGGTTGTGTACGTTTTGTTTCGATTTTGAGTTAAACGTTTCGTTGATTGTGAAAGGAGGTGAATCGAAGTCAGATACCAAGAGTTCCAAGTAAGTTTCCTGCGTTTGACCTTTGTTTTTTCTTTATTTCTTCGTTGTTTCTGCTGCTTCGGGATCAAAAACCAGCAGATGGCGGTTTCTGGATCTCAGATCTGTTACTGCAGTTTTTGAGAGTCTCTGGTTTATCGTTTGTGTGATGTGGTTCCGCCTTTTGTTCATAGACTTTTTTTGAATAAGTAAGGAGCCGCCACAAAAGCTGAGAAGAAATCGGGGAAGGCGGCCAAGGGTCTAGACAAGCCAAAGAGGCCTGCCGGTGCCTTCTTCGTATTCATGTAATTATTATCACCGCCTCTATAAAATATCTCGTTACTAATGAAAAATCCTCCTTCCGTCAAATATCTTTGGCTTTAACATTCAAACAAACCGTTGAAGAGGTGAATAGAGCAATATTTTTTTTTTTTTAAATTTCAGCGCATCAATGATTTTAGTTTTGAGTTTTTGGTTTTGGTTTTTAAAATATAAACAATCAAAGTCGACAATTAAAAACTAAAATTTAAAATTAAAATTGTCAAACTTATTAGGTACAAGATTTTAAAAAAAATACTTAACTTCAAACTTAATTAGTTTGTAAAATTACTTAATTTTATTTTTAAAGTCAAAATAAAAAATTTAAAATCACAATCATATTAAATGAAATCTAAAATAATTTTATTTAAAAAGAATTCAAATTTCCAAGTCCATTGCCTGTAAGGGGGAAGAAGGGAAGGAGATCAGAAGAGAAATAGCAAACTTCAAGCCTCTAACAAATCTTTTTATAATTATTAATAAAGGAGTGGGCGTTTAATATTAAGACTTATTCCTCTATCAATATTTAAAAAAAGTATAAAATTGTAAAAGTGTATTCTCTTATTTGAAAATTATTCTTCTAGTTTTTCTAACTTATCAAAACTGTTTTTAGTTTTTAAAATAAAAAATTTTCTAGAGGGATACTAAATAAACAATAAAATATCACTAAGGAAAAGAGGTTTCAATTTGACTAGAAAAATAATTGTCAGTTTGCCACAAAAAAATGGAATGAACTAATTATGCCCCTAAATGTCACCAGCTAATCTTTATTTTTATGCCTCAATTGGTTAATAATTTAAAATTTAAAATATGGATTTTGAATTAAGTAGAAAAAAATTTGAAAAAAAGTAAAATGTTATCTGTTCTTATATAATTAATCATCTTATGCACAATGAGATACTACCAATTTAGAAGGCATGGAGTAATTTTCATCAATATTAAAAGTGACAAAAATGTTGTTAATGAAATGTTTAATTGTATATTTAGGTAGACAGAAATGGAGAGAAGGAGCGAAAAAATTTTTTTAATCAATCAAATTATAATGTTTTTAAAATATTATATTTTGATTAATTAAAAAACTTTTTCTTTTCATCTTCGCCCTCCCTCTCCTTTCAATTTAAACATATTATAAATCGGTTGGTAATTAAGGGAGTAAAACAGTAATTTTTTGATTAAGGTGTAAAATAGCAAGTGAGAGTTGCAGCCTGCAGGCAACCGATCCTAGTGAAATGATCTTAGACATTGTAAAAGCCTGAGCACTCTAAACACGCACTCTAAAAACGCACTCTAAACACGCAAGGTTCACCATTTTCCTACAATCACGTTATTTATGAGAGTACTGTTGTTTATCTTTGTTGTAATTCTTTGCTTCATGTCTTCTATTGCATTGGTTTTATTATACTTAAATCACATCGTTTAATTAATGTAATATTCATGATATATACTTTAATTTCTCATATCTTAGTCATCTTTTCTTTTTTTTTTTCTTTTTCTGTATATTTTTTTATAATTAATTGGTATTTAAAAATAAAAACGATACTCTCACTTACATTTTAGTTTATTAAAGGAAAAATATATAAAACAATAGATTTAAAAATAATTTACCTTTCTAATAAGAAAGAATGTTTTTTTCTCATGTATCTATTTAGGAAAATATATACATCTACTATTTTAAAATATAAAACATTTAATTTTTTTATATGTATTTTTAGGTAATATTTTTTAATAGTATATTGATGATAATTAATTTTTTTTATAAAATAATACTACCTAATTGAACTACTAAAAATATTTTAATTATAATTCATATATTCTGAAAAAAATATTATTTAAAATTACATAAAAAAATATTTTAAAACTTCATATTTTGAAACGAAAGGAGTATATCATATATATCGGTCTTGGCATATTGGTCTGAGAAAAACCATTCTTCACGAACCAATAAGATTACTCCAAACATATTATGCAACTCACCCCTTTGAGTTCTATTTTACTGAATAGTTTTTTCGATGGCCAAAAACAGCAAGGTTGCTCCAAGATTTGACAATTACTTCCCAAGATCCCCATCTCCACGTTGCATAATAGCAGCGCAAGACCTTTAAAACTTGTATTTTGGGGGCAAAGATGAGCTTTTGTTGTCTTCACGTTGCACAACAGTAACACAAGAATACCAACGAGGAGTTGGATCAAGTGGCAAGCGGTTTGTTCCAACTTAAGTAAGATCTTGAGTTTGAGACTTTGTGTACGCAGCAACTTTCGTTGAGAGACCCACCTACTATTCTGGTGCGCCACAGCTGGTCGAGTCCAGAGCAGTCGGGGCGAAACTTCAGATACTAGGCGGGAAACCAAAAAAAACAGTAACACAAGAATTGTCAAAGCTACAGTTTTTTGGTGGGGCAAAAGATTTGTGAAAGGGAGAAGTAAAATTATCCAAGCCCACTGCGTGCGTGATTCACAACCCAGAACGGGTCTTGGCACTACTTAATTAAGTCATCAAGATTTTAAAAAGCAAAATGAGGATAAGCGTTTACTTGGAATTTTTTTTTACTACAGTACAAGGCCAAGACTTGACTCGGGCTCTTTTTTTAAAGTAATTTAGGGAATAATTGTCTTACCTATTTAATATCTATATGTGGGATTATATCTAAAAAGTTTTAAAATCAAATAACAAATATAATGTTTATTCTAAAATTTCATATATGATAATCAACTTGTATTTTTATATTTAAAATTATACTATTTTAATAAAATATTATAAAAAAGACTAAAAACATTTTAATCATATTTTAAAAATAAAATATATTAATTTTTT